CAGGCAACCGGAAAACGCAGGAACAACAAATTCACATGGTAAATTAATACAATACTCCCCAATGTAACGAAAAGTGGATTTTGCTTTTATGATCTGTTAAAAGGGTACACATGGAATTAACTCTTCCCATATGGCAACAGTGGTGTGCAGAAGGAGGAGAAGGCGAAACAGAAACCTTACGGGCAATTTCATCGTTTATGCCATATTTCAGCTGTTTCTTTGGAAATAAAAACCGTGCTTCACCCTTCTAAGAATCTGCCTCAAGTTGTTTCCTGAGCAAAACTGCTCTCCTCATATGGGCTCGTGCATGTGTACATGTTACTTCAGATAAGGCCTGTCCAAAACGCTCATCACAACACCTTTACGGAGGCAATTCACAGATTGACGGCAAGAACATCTTCGCACCTAATCACTTATGCTGATGCATAAAATCTTCTTGATGACTATTAAAAAGGAGACCATAAAATGTGCATTGATGGTTCAAATTCATTGAATAACAGCACGGATTTGAGTCAACTTCCTTGCCTTTGCACCACCAAAATGTGAAATAGTACGACAATTGGCAACTCGCATATGGGGTGAGGTACGTGTGCGAGTCATTTCAGTCGAGAATGAATTTCGTGGTTGCCATTATACTTCTGGGTCGAATGCTCCTTCAGCCACCTAGACATCTTTTACGCTCACATTTGGTAGGATAGGGAAACACCTGGATGCAGTAAACCATGGCTGGACATTTGAAGGAGTGGAAGCTGCTGCATTTGGGCACCTGTCCCCGAGTGACCCGAACGTTTGCTTTAGCAAGTGGTTTAAAACAAACGATCTTAGTCCAAAATAAAATACGCAATTCGCATTTGGATGTACGGAAAACCTCCTTGTGTGGTACATCAACGAAGTTGGTTGGAAAATTGCACCAGGCTATGAAAAAAATAAGCATACTGTGTGTAAGATTCAGTCGAATGTATAAACGTTAAACTCACTATTGCAGGTTACTTCAAGAGGAGTGACCAAACTCTGTCGCCTCTTCGGTGGTTGCTTAAGCAGCGATACAGCGCAGCAGATTCGTGAATCACAAGCCGCCCTCTTCGACAAGTTGGATTGGACAGGCGACGCGATAACTCAGGCTCTGACTACACGCAATCAACACTCCGAGTTGCCCTCGGGTGGGGCGCTGACGATTCGACTGACGCAAGCCCAACCCTACAACGGTCGTGATACCGGCAGAGGAAGGAGGCCGACAGCGCCAACGAAATTGGAGATGGATGGAGGTGATAGCAGTAGGGATTCATCGTCACGACGGAATGACTCCAGTGTGATTGACTCGGAGGAGGAGGGAGAGGAAGCGGAGGAGGAGGAGGAAGAGGAAGAAGAGGAGGCAACTTCACCCTCAGGGTTCAGCTCGCTTCACTGTGACGACGAGGTTCACTCGACTCCAGGAGAGGAAGAGGATACGGGCTTTGGAAGCAGCGCTACTGGAGGCACAACGAAAAGCGCACAGCAGCGACTGGAGAGTGTTTTCTTCTGTCGATTTCTTGTCGGACTCTCTAAACGCATTATCGAGGAGTTTGTAGAAAATCGTGAGCAAACATTTGCACCTCCCTTTAATAGCATTACCACTTACCTCAATACCTCTGATGGCACATTTAGGGGTAATTTTACTTGCGCATATTTCTTCTAAAATTGACAAGATAATGCACCTCGCCTGAGTTCTCAGCTATCCGCTGATTTGATGATTTCACCAACTTCTATCACCCTTTTTTCCCATGGAATTGCGTAAATCCTCCAAACCTCTGCATTTTATATCCATTTGCGCATTCTCATGTTTTTATCATTACTTGAAGGCCATCAGGCAGCTATCTGATTGGTGCTCTAGTAAAAGACAGCCTCACATCTATGAGGCTCCCTGTTTTCTTACCCGGGACCTACGTATTCGTTAGACCGTTTACATTCAGTCATATCACGAGAAAGCAGGACATGGTGTTCTCTGTCTAATGTTAATTACATTTTGGCATGTCTTCCGTGTACTGCGGTTAAAACCAGCTCATTCTGGAAGGCTTCCTCACTTCCACCTTTCTCCCCTCTCCCTCAACTTGCAATCAGCACAAGTCTGCAAAGAAATTTAGTTAAACGATTCCACATCTCTGTATCAACTGACTGACTCCATTTGCATTTACCTATGCGACCACCCTATTGGCTCCACAAAGCGTATGCCAATGTAGTCCTTTTTAATGGCTTTACTTTCATTACTGAAGGCGGGATCCATCAGAGTTGAAGCATAAATTGGAAAAATAAAGGGAACAAAACCGGCTAAGGACTTAAGTAATAAGGACAAAACTTTAGGATACATTCTTTGACGAGAATATTTCCTGATCGGTAGGCAATTTCTTGTACGGTCTGATTTCACAATGTCTCTTGGTTGGAGAGAAAAAACAGCGCCCTGGAGAGACGACCCTTTGGTTGCTTCTCATTGTAGGTTCGCTGGTGATAAACTGGGAGACGGGGACGCAGGTACTGAACCTGACGAAGGCAATAAGCAAATGGATGCACAATGCAGGAGTGCAGAATCATAAGGAGGCAATGCAGCTGCTTTACGACTTTTCTAGGCTGATGGCTACTCCGAGACAGGAACTTCTCAATGTAGGTGTCTCAGCCCACCTACCATGCTTCATAGGCACTTTTTTATTGTCAGTTTTATCAACACCTTCTAGACTAGGCTCTCTGGGAAGAAACCATCGCAACAGTTCGTAAAACACTTTTAGAACTCTGAAACGTATAGCCACCTTCAGACCAATGGTACTCCACCTCTATTTTAGCGTTCTAAACTCAACGTTTCTCGCTGAGGGACGATTCGGCTCAAGCAGACACCAGAGACTGGCATAGGGGCTAGTTTTGAGCAATTTTTTGCAACATAAGGTAGAAAGCTGGTCACTTACAACAGATGCATTTCTACTTCTAAGACATTCGCTTGCTTTAAACAAGTCAAATATTTAGTGACACAAAA